CGGTCCGGCTCTTCTTGGTTTGGTTTTGCTTACTGTTCCTGAGAACTTTACCTATTCATTCTGTACTTGCTGCATTTTTTTCCTGAATGATTGACATTACACAAAAATTCCATTTTTTGCCCCATCCTCTCCTCTGAAATCTGATGTATTTTAATATGGAATATTTGTGGTGAACTGCTTGCCACTATTTATGCTTGAAAAGCAGCTTTTTAAAAAAATGTAATTGGTTTTGTACTGTTCTTCTCATAACCTGCCTTGAAATCCACTGATACAATGTAGGTTATAAATACTTTGAATCAAGCAACTGAAACGAAGTTCACTAACGAAAAATAAACACACATTCATAGGATTGTGCAGGAAGTAAGGTGGGGGGGAGGAGAATCGGTTGTGTGATCAGGCATGCCAGTTATTCCTGTGAAGGGCTAGCTGGTGGATATGGGTGAATCCTTGCGGGGAGGGCCCTGAGAGGCTGGCTTTCTGGGTGACACCCCACACACACCCTGGCCCCCAAACAACACGTGCCCCATGTACCATGGTGACTGATTCTCCGAGGCACCCTATTCCCAAATGATTTTGCGGATATTGAAAGGGGTTAGCCCGGCGGGCGGAGCAACCGGCAATGCAAGGGTTGGGGGGTATGGGCAAGAATACATGGCCTATGTTTTATGCAAATTATGCAAATCTGGCAACCTGCAGGACCCTTATGCAAATCTGCCAACTTTCATGCTGAAATATGAAACACGTTTCGTTCCACTCTGGACTTTAAAACGCAGTTGTGCCTGGAAGATCCGGAGGGGAGGAAAATTAAATGGTGCTGTGCTCCCTGGTGGCACATAAGCTTATGATGAGAGGGTGCAAAAATAATAATAATAATAGAGAAAGGGACAGGTAAAAGTCTCCAGAATGCCAACATCCCCCCCCCCCGTGCCTCTTGCAAAAGGAAAAGGAAGGAGCAGATTCAAATCTCGACCCTTTCCAACCAATCCTTTTTTCTGCCGTGTGGATGGGATCCGATTGTCCTGCCATTTAGACAGTTCCAAAGGTGCGCAGAGAAGCCCTGATTCACTAAAGCTTGGAACAAGGACATTCCGGACTTCCAAACCCAGAGCCTTCTGGCTGGCATGGTGAGGGATGTTTTGAGGCAAAACCCACCAAATAAAATAAAATAAAAGGGCTGCGTGATATCTTTGAACCTCACTGCCCCAAGTGCTGTGATTCGCATGTGGATCTGAAGTCCGGGGTGGTGGTGGTTTGCCTTGGAGATGATATCTTTGTTAAACCACTGAACCTCACTGCCCCAAGTGCTGTGATTCGCATGTGGATCTGAAGTCCGGGGTGGTGGTGGTTTGCCTTGGAGTAACAGGTTTTTCTCCACAAGGCTGGACTGCTCACAGCTTCAGCAACACATTCTGGGAGACAAAATGGGTTGCAGCTCAGGAGAGCGTGTGTGCAAGGATGTGTGTTGTGTGGTTGCCCCCCCTCCCCCACTACACACTAACACAAAAGTGATGTTTACTTGTATTTGAAATGCATCAGTATTTTACTCTACCTTTGGAATCTAAAATCGCTCCTCTACTGGGCAAAACCCACATTAGAACATACTGTGTCTGATCATCATCATCATCATCATCATCATCATCATCATCATCATTTGTATTTGAAATGCATCAGTATATTTTACTCTACCTTTGGAATCTAAAACCGCTCCTCTACTGGGCAAAACCCACATTAGAACACACTGTGTCTGATCATCATCGTCATCATCATCATCATCATCATCATCACCACCACCACCACCACCACCACTATAGCACGCCATCTATTCTGATTTATTGCAACCCTTTCCAAGGTTTTCTAGTTAGAGAATACAAAGAAGCGCTTTGCCCTTCCTTTCCACTAGGGGCGCTCTGGGACTGTGCAGCTTGCCCAAGGCCACACGGGCTGGCTTTTCTCTCCATGCACAGTGAGGGGAATCGAACTCCCAACCCTTGACTCCACAGCCAGATACCCATAGCATGTGCTCTTGCACTCACATCCCATTCTGGGTAATTGTGGTGAGATCTGATTGGCCACTGCAGGGAAAACATGGCCACTGTGAACATCCTCGTGTGCCACCTTAGCCGAAAGATGCTTAACCTGTCTCAATATTCGCCATGAAGCCGCTTCTGGTTCCACTCGATGCTACAGCGGTTAAATAGATGGGTGCAGAGCGACGCCTGGTGGCCATGTATGGGAATTATGCATACGCACACAATTCCAATCCTGTTCTTTGACATGGACTTCCCGGCCCCTCTGTAGTTTTATCTTACCTGCATCCATCGAGGCTAAATACGTCAGTGCTTATTTTGGGTAAGAAACGTGCAAATTCCACAATGCACACCCCCCATGTGCAAAGAGGTATAGGTAAGAAACAGATTAGACTGAACTTTTTCTTTTCTTTTCAAAAATGCCATTTATTCGCTTTCCGTAGGATAAATAATTTGTTTTAAAAATATTTTCAAGTTTTCTATTTCTTTCACTTCGTATGGCAAGTCTTTAAAAATAAGAAAAACGACAGCTCAAACTCTGTCTTGCTACTCCCCCTCTCCCTGGATACTACAAACAAAATAAATCCAAGAGAGAGAGAGAGAAAGAGAGATTAAATTAACAATGGTTTCAAAGTGAAACACTGCTGGCTTTGGCCACAATGGTTGTGCAAAGTCCAGCGTTAAGATAGAAGGCACACTGCGGTGGAGGGGCATGGAGGCATGGCACAGAAGGATGTCAGCCCATGTAGGAGAGCTGTGCAAGCTAGGATTGCACAGTCAAAAGGAAAGCCCTTTTGACTTTCTCTCTGAACCACAGGCAGACATCAAACAGGTAATGCTTCCCTCACTGTGGGTTGTTTTTTTGAAAAATGCAAACCCTGCCCAGGCAGTAGGGAAAAATATGGCAGCCATTACCTATTATGGCTATAAAGAGCCTCCGTGCCCAGTAGCAGTTTACCTGGCAATGTCAATTCCTTGAGAGTCACAGTGGCTGAGGGTTGTACAAGGTTGCCTACTTGTACTGGCATTTTTTTTCCATTTCTGCCAAAGACCCGAGCAGGCCAGAGCTTGTTTAATCAGTTACAGACATCTCCTTGTTCCTTTGGTCTTGTTAAAACATGGATACAGTAGGACCCTCTTATCCACGGGATCAGTATCCGCTGATTCACTTATCCGTGGTCTGAAAATATTAAAAGAAATGTCCTAGAAATATATATATATATCTAAGATGAAGTCACTTGAACTCGCCACTGGAGGGAGTCAGAGACCATGTTATGTAGAGCGTTTGCTCTTAAATTAGCAAATGATAAAATTATTTATAATTATAATCCACATTTTTCAGCATCTGCATTGGGGAGCTTGGAGCTGACCCTCTGCAGATATGGGTGTCCTGTTCTATAAAGGATATAGTTATTATTTCACATCATTAGGTTTTGGGAGATCGCAGAGAGAAATGTCGTGATACATTAATTTCTGTTAAAAGGAGAAAGGAAAGAAGGCACTGGGGTGGAGATCTCAAAGTAGAGGCACTGTTTAGACCCCGTCAAGGCTCAGGGACATCCTGGAGCTCGTGACTGGTCTTCAATCCTGGGGTGATCAATGTCAACAAGACTGGAGAAGGTAAAGGTAAAGGTTCCCCTTGACCTTTAATCCAGTTGTGTCCTACTTTAGGGCGCGGAGCTCATCCCCATCTCCAAGCCATAGAGCCAGCATTTGTCCGTATACAGTTTCTGTAATCACGTGGCCAGCACGACTAGACAAGGAACAATCACGTGGCCAGCGCGACTAGACAAGGAACGCCATTACCTTCCCACCGTGGTGGTCTCTATTTATCTACTCGCATTTTTATATGCTTTCGAACCGCTAGGTTGGCAGGAGCTGGGACAAATGACGGGAGCTCCCTCCGTTGTGTGGATTCGATCTTACGACGGCTAGTCTTCCGACCTTGCAGCACAGAGGCTTCTGTGGTTTAACTCGCAGCGCCACCAGGAGACTGGAGAACAAGTCATTGAAAACTAGAAGACGGTTGTTGCGTTCTCCTATTAAGGTGGCCCAGTGGATGTGAAAAGCAGGGCTCTGTAATGCCCTTTCAGTCCAGAGAGCCAAGGAAGGGGATGCGGGGGGTGGGTGGGCTCAGCAAGCAATGCCCCTCCCCTCCTTGTTCCACCTTGCTGATCACGGATGGCTTGCGCTGGCCACATCCTACTAAATCATGGTCTTTCTCAGCGAATCCTGGAGGAACCCCAAAATGCAGTGAATAAAATGAGGAAGGATTGTATTTTTTTTTTTGGCTTGGTGTTATCAAAACAGCTGGCTACATGCAGGAGGGGATCCCTGGGGGTTCTGATGCCTTCCTGCAAATTTTATGCAAGCTGAAAGATAGCCTCAGATCATTACTCCTCACTTCCGCCTTGTGTGATGACTTTCACAAGAGCCTGACAATTCTGCTATCGGACCAGCCATCTTGTGCCGTTCTTTGGTCTCCCTTTATGGGTGAATCCAAGCAGCCATTTCAGATTGTGGTTCCAGGTCATGCTTTTAGATCCAGATGTCACAGGGTCTTGCGCTTAATGATCTGATGGAACGTCCAGACATCAAGTCCCCGGAGGAATCCTGGAACTCATGAGACATCCAATCCATTCTCTCCCTCTCTCTTTTTGAGGTTTCCAAGGAAGAACGTCCACCACCACCCCTTCCTCAGTCTTCTTTCTTCTGTGCAGCAGAAACAGGTCACTGTTAGCTTTGGGTTGTCAAAAAGTTCAGACAGTCACAATGGCTGATGATTTGGGGCAGCCCCCAAGATTTCGAAAACACTCTTTCAGCCAAAAGCTTAAAAAAAAAAAAAAAAAAAAAAAAAGGGAACACATCCCTCACATTAACTTGTCTCTCAGAAGCACAAGAATCTGTCTTAACTTGAGACAGACCCTTGGTCCTCCTAGCCTTATATAATCCACTCTGACTGGTCACAAGAGCCTGCCAATTCTGGTATCGGACCAGCCATCTTGTGCCGTTCTTTGGTCTCCCTTTATGGGTGAATCCAAGCAGCCATTTCAGATCGTGGTTCCAGGTCATGCTTTTAGATCTAGACGTCACTGGTTCTGTGCTTACTGATCTGATGGAACGTCCAGACATCAAGTCCCCGGAGGAATCCTGGAACTCATGAGACATCCAATCCATTCTCTCCCTCTCTCTTTTTGAGGTTTCCAAGGAAGAACGTCCACCACCACCCCTTCCTCAGTCTTCTTTCTTCCGTGCAGGAGCCACAGGTCACTTTTAGCTTTGGGTTGTCAAAAAGTTCAGACAGTCACAATGGCTGATGATTTGGGGCAGCTCCCAAGATTTCGAAAACACTCTTTCAGCCAAAAGCTTAAAAAAAATAATGGAACATATCCCTTACATAAACTAGTCTCTCAGAAGGACAAGAAGCTGTCAACTTGAGACAGACCCTTGGTCTTCCTAGCCTTATATAATCCACTCTGACTGGCAGCAGGAGCTCTCCATAGTTCCAGGTAGGGAGCATCTCTAGCCTTCCCTTGGAGGTGCCAGACTTTCCCTGGCGGTCTCCCATCCAATTACTAGACAGGCCTGACCCTGCTTAGCTTCTGAAATCAGAGGAGGCCTCTGCCTTCAGGACGATCCATTAGTTCTTAGTCTCCGATTCATGAGACCAAAGAGATTTTGTTGCCCATAAGTCAACGCAGGGGGAGTCAACTTGTTGGGTTGCCAAGGCGAAGGGCAGACCCAGGCAAAGCCAACACAAAATGGAATCCTGGACAGTGTTTCCTCTCTAAGGCCCGCCCCTTCCTTCCTTTTCCGGGCAGCCATATTGGAAACGCAACTCAGAGAGACGTGAAGGGAAGTGGAAGGGAAGCGCCGTTAGTTCCAAAACGGGGGGCGCCCTGCTAGGTCTCTTCATCCCAAAGGCAGAGCTGCTTCTGAGGCACATAGTAGTCAAAGCTGTAGCCCTTCTGGCAGCTACGGATGCCGCACTTGTAGGACGACACTTTCCCGGCCGCATCCCGGCTCTTGCAGTACTTGAGCATGCAGGGGTACCACTCGATGCTCAGGGCGTAGCTGCAGATGCAGGGCTTCCAGCGATCCGCGCACAGCCGGCAACGCTGCAGGTCGGGCAGGTCGGCCGACTGAGGCAAGACCTCAAACATGGAGCCGTCCACCCCTGGAAAAGAGATGGGAAAAGTTGAGAGAGCCAGAGGTCCTTCTGGGGCACTGACCCCTCCGGCTTGGAAAGCTTCTGAAACCAAAAAGCATCCTGACAACCCGCGAGCATGGACGACACTGTGGGGGTTCTGGGAATGCCAGCTTAAAATATCTGGGAAGCAGGAAAGGGGTCCCAAAGCTTGCTGTAGACCATGGGCAGAGCAGCAATCGGCAATTTTGGCAGTCAGGCCTAGCGGCACCTTTTCTCACCCACTCCACCCCAGGGCACAGGTGCAAGTGAGAAAGCAGAAGGAAGAATGCAGTGCCTCCTTTTAAAACCCTCATATTTTTGGAAGGAAACATAACCTGACTGTATTCAGTGGAACAACAGCAGGCAAATCATTCATTAAGTCAACCTTCCACAGTCTGGTGCTAACCAGTGGCCCTTGAGGTCCACCCTTATCTTGATTCTCAGATAGATCCGCCATCCCAACGGACCAACCAATTTGGCAGGGACTAGATTAGGGAAAGCTGGCCTTTGCTGGCATGGAAGCCCACCAGGAGACAAGCAGCCATGGAGGTTTCCATCCTCCTACCTTTCTCCAGCCAGAACTTCACGTCTTCTTCCCGGGTGTAGATGGCCTCCTTGGCTTCCGAGCAGACGTTGTGGATGTGGGAGCTCAGCTGGGCCCCTTTGCTGAAGTTGACCGCCACGTCCATGCTGAGGTGCTCGAGGGCCCGCACCTCCTCGGCCTGGCGCACAGTCCGCGGGTTTTTCTAGTGAGGAGAGAAAAGGGGGAAGAACCTGTCATGAGCCCCGCGGGTTTCTCCAACACTCATCTCATCCTTGAACCCCCCATCAATACGTTAATGATCAGAAATGTATTTATTTACGAAAATTTGTATCCCACCCTACATCCGAAGATCTGGGATTCCAACGGAGAAGCAACCTGGAACCACTGAATGGCTATAAAGCCGTTGCCTTAGTTTGGAACGGTGGAAAATTCTTGTCCGGTGGATAACTGGTCTTATTCCATGTCTCGCCTCTTCCTCACCTGCCTGAGTTTGGCCATGGACTCGCTGGGGATGATCTCGTTGCGGTGGAGCCTTGTGACGAAGCACAGGGCTTGAAACTGGCTCTGACCTCTTTCCAGCTCCCCAAGGATCAAGGCCCGGAATATCTTCACTTCCTGAGAGAAAAGAGACCAAAAAAAGGGGGGGCTTGTCACTTCCAGGGTTCCAAGGATTAATGCTGCTCTGCCACTTCTCTCCCACATTTTTTCAGCATAGAAAGGAACTTGGAGAGGTTATTACATTTGGGATCCCCTCCCTCGCCTCCAGCCTGCCTGGATGGGCCATTCAGTTGACCTGAGGTCAAGCAACCCTAACAGAACGTTCAAGGTACGGGAGAGACATACGGAGTGGTTTTCCCAGTGCCATTCCCAGTGAATTCCCATGACTGATCAGGGACTGGAAGCCAGGGTTTCTCCATGTCAAGAACCACCTCACCCTGTGCGTTCTAGGTATGCAATCCTAAATATACAGAAGGGTTTCATATTAAAACTAGCAGGTCAATGTGGTCTGAGATGTATTTATTGTGA